CCCCAAAACCCCAAAACCCCAAAACCCCAAAACCCCTATTTTGAAATAGGATTTTGAAATAATAAATATTGTGGGAAATGGAGCCATTAGATTATAAAAACACAGATGAGGATTTGGATGATGACGCCTCTGAAGAATTTGAAGAGCTTGACCAAATCTCAAGAGTTGCCCTACTGATTGATGATCTTAATAACGAAGACCCCCTCGCCCAGCAGAACTCGATTGAGAAGTTAGGAACAATAGTCCAGGTCTTAGGCAAACATAGAACAGTCGATGAACTCGTACCAATGCTGACAGAACTTATAGATAGGATTGATAATAATTCTGAGTTGTTAATGCACCTAGCTGAAGAGCTCGGAAACCTCACTGAATTCCTCGGAAGTGATCTCTGTATAGAACTCTGCAAACCTTTGGAATTGATATGCGCAGCAGATGAGAATATGGTACGAAATAAAGCCCAAGAATCACTACTTAAAGTCTGTGAATTTGTGGAAAAGCCAAATGACCTTACTGAATTTTTCGAGCTTGTTGAGAGACTTAGCAAAGGCGATCTTTTCTCGATGCGTATCGCTTCATGTTACCTGCTTGCTAGCACTTATAAAAAGACCTTCAATTCAGAAGTAAGAGACAAGTTGTTCAAAGATCTCTCTGAAGACGATACCCCAATGGTGAGGAGAGCAATCGCCAAAAATCTTGGAATATTTGCTCAGGAAATAAAATACCCTATAGATATAGTGATAGAGAGCTTTAAGACTCTTTTGGGTGACCAGCAGGATGCTGTTAAAATAGAGTCATTGAAGAACAGTTGTATCTTAGCTCGACTTATCAATGAAGACCCATCTCTTTCTCAAGAAGAGAAGGAGAAAAGATTGGAAGAGGACATATTAATAACTGTTGTTAAAGCTTCTGAAGACAAAAAGAGCTGGAGGTTGAGATTCGCTGTCGCTGAACTCTTGGATGAGCTCACTCATATTATTGGAAAAGATCTAGCCGATAAGCATATAAAGCCTGCCATTGAAGCTCTGATTAGTGATAGTGAGCCAGAAGTTAAGTCAGAGATTCTTCTTAAAGTTATCGAAATTGTTGAATTCGTAAAACCTGATCTTATTCTTGACAAAATCATTGCCTTAACTTCTGACACAAGTCAGCATGTAAGGGAATCTCTAGCTGAATGAATTTGTAAAATTGCAACTCATGTTGATACAGAAATGTATGTTTCAAAAGCTCTTCCAGCAATGTGTCAGTTAATGAAAGATACAACCACAGAGGTTAGGGTCTGAGCTTTGGAAAATATTGAGACTGTCACTAAGGCAATCGGACAAGAGAATATTAACCTCCATATAATCCCTGCATTGCTAGAGCTCACCACTGATAAACAGTGGAGAGTCAGATATGGTATAGCTCAATTTTTCCCGAAGCTAGCAAGCATCTTCGGCAAGGATCTCTATATTGAGAAGATGGAGAAAATCTCCCTTGATTTCTTATCAGACAATGTATTCAAAATTCGAGAACAATCAATGAAGAATTTAGTCGATCTCAAGCTGACGCTTGGAGAGGAATGGTTTGAGAGGATCTGTAAAGAGAAAGTCAGAGAATTTTCCAGGTCTGATAAGTGTTCTATCAGAATTCTTTCGATCTTCTTGGTCAGAATCATTCAAGACCATATTGACCCTGACATTCTGAATAAGGACATCATCCCAGTAGTTGTCGGGCTAAAGGATGACTCAGTCCCGAATATAAAATTCAATGTTGCAAAAATACTTGATGAACTGAGCAGTTTGCTTAGTAGGGAAAATATCTTTATTGGAAAAAGTGCCTTAAGCTCTCTAAAGGACTCTGATTCTGATGAGGATGTCAAATATTTCGCGACTAAGGCATTGTCTAACGAGACATTCAGCAATTAAGCTTGAGTTAATTATCTGTGTACCTAATTCATCAGTTTTTGATAAATATTTGGGGTTTTGGGGTTTTGGGGTTTTGGGGTTTTGGGGTTTTGGGG